TTTTTTTTTTTTCTTTTTTTTTTTTTTTTTGGGGTACACCAAATGCAAACAAATCGCAGGTCAGCTTGCCACAGAAACCACATCAGCAATCCTTTCATCTTTCAATTCAAACAGCCACAAGTAGCCCAGAAATGATCCCCAGTCCAGGAAACGCTAGATGAAAAACCTCTCTCCAAATATGTTCTGTGAGCAGCGGGAAGGAGGGAAAGGAAACTGCCAGAGGGACAGAGCTCCATCTGCAGCTGGAGCATCTCAGACAACCACCCTCCATTCGACTCCCTCTTCTGCATTGACACCCCACTACTCCACTCACCACACCCGCACCAAAAGTACCTCAGTTGTACAGAAAATATTACTGTGTTATAAAATTCAGTTATTTAATGGAGTAGCTACTCTGTTACCTTTTTCTTTCTTTTAATTAGTAATTCAAAACAGTGCTACAGACTTCATGTTTATTTCATAATTTAAAGCATAATAAAAAGTATTTCAACTCCAACAGACAGTAATGTTGGGAACAGTTTAGAGTAGGATAACTTATTTTATCTCAATAAATTTGTGAATAATTCCTTTTAAAATCTCCATATTTTAATTACAACAAATGAGAAAATAGAATATTAAATACAGCAAAAGCATTCAAAAGCAAATCCAACTTTTAAAAACATTAGAAATGACCAAAAAAGACATATTAGGATAAGGTACACTTTAAGTACACTGTCCTATTATTTTAAATTGACACTTTATGCTTAGAAAAGCTGTTCACAATTGGAATAGCATTCCATGCATATTTTTAATATACCCACTGACTGGAAGCCAGCACCAAGAGAGAAAAATAAAATGGGAGCTATAATTGCCCATTACTTGGAGGACAGAAAAACACTTATTTGGGACTGATGAAAGTAGGAGATTAAGATGAAGATTAACAAACCAAAATACTAAGGACAGGTTCTAAAATTAGACATTGGTTATGGCACAGGAAGTGAACAGAACTAAGCAGTACTGTTTCTTTGGAGGCTTAAAGGTCTTTTACTCTTCTGGATGCTGAATTTACTCCTAATGCTTTTGCAATTAGCAAGGCATAAGTTTTACAAATTTCATGGTAACATATATCATAACATGATCATTTAAATCACTTTAGTTCTCACATAAGACTGTCCAATTTGGCTTCACTATTCTTCTACTTGCATTCTAATTTTCAGAACAGACAAAATAGATCTTTTCTCTAAACTTAAAAAAAACCCTGAATCTCATCTATCTGCAAAAAAACAACAGAGAACTAGTGTTGATAAATGAATATTGAGTTCAAGATGACACATATTGAAATAAGGGGATGAGAAGGGGGAAAGTCAAGACCAGCAGTAACATGATGGGTAATTATTCCTCCAATTCTCACTTGCTGCCAGCTAAACATAAACCATGATTGGCAGAGGAATTCTTGGCCACGAGAAAGACTCTATTCTCCTGAAAGSAGAAGAGCCCATTGATACCAAACAGGTCAAAAAGCTGTGTTACAAATGAAATACAGTTTTACCATACTACAAAGTTTCAGGGAGATGGATACAATAAAGTGTCATCAGAATATTCACAACCTATGAAGCAGCCCATCACAAAACTTACTTTCCATAGTCTGGACCATCCAAGAAAACTAAATGCCACGGCACATAAACACCTCACTAGATCTGCTGTCTCTCTCCACTGCTTCTGCAAGCCTTTTTCTTCCTGGAAAGTCTAGTTCTGTSCTGGACAGCAGTAGGTTTTTTGCTGCATTTGTAGCATTTTGAATGTCTGCATTCAGAAAATAAAATATTTTAAGTCATAAACAGGCCTATATGTGGGAAACTTTTCATTAACATGAGAATAAGTACCTAAAAAATTAGTCCCCTGCATCCTCAAAACCAGAGGAGATGGTATGAGGATTCCTGTAGGATTTTAGCTATTTTCCTTGATTGTGACAAGTATCTAAAGCTCTACTGGACATTTGCCCAAATGAACTTCTACCTGCTTACAAGAAAGACTGTTTCTTCCTGTTCAAAAGCCTCAGCATTTCTCTCTTCATTCATCAACATTCATCTGCATCTCTGCTCCCACAGGACACATCTTTAATGTACTCCCCATTCTGTTCTCTGTTACACTCAAAAACCATAAGCTAGTCAGATGTTGTTGAAGTTTTAAAGTACACATTAATACAGACTTTGGTCTACTTAATGTAAAATATTCAACACCACCATATTTAAAATCAACATATTATTGCTTGCTTGGAGCAGAACCTCATGAAAATCTTTTCCATGAACAAAGTTATCTGCATCAGTTGCCTTACCTTGAGTTCTTCCTTCAACTCAAAAAGGTAGTGAATAGATATTTTCTCTTCCAGATATAATACCTGGAGTCCTAACTAAATTAATTGGAATAAAGTTAAGACTTGACATAGCTATCTTAAAAGTTCTCTTCGGGTGAGTATGAGAGAGAAGTCGGGAAGCAATTGGTGCTGTCACATATCTCAAACCAATCTCTATTGTCAGGGATTACAGCAGGTCTGTGAGATCCCTGGCTCCCTTAGCAGAGAGGGTTAACCTTGAAGACTTCAGAGTGTACCCGTGAGAAAGAGAAGTTACTTAGATAGCAGAAAACTGTAAACAAGTCTAAGAAAAGTTTCAGCTACAGAGCAGGGTGAGAAAACTTGCAAAACTGACCAAGCTGAAGTTTGTCCAATCACAACCTTGTTATTGTATTTTGCTGTTGCAGCCAATAAGTCAATGACATGATTTTACATAAAACATATAAAAGAACACTTATAGCTTAATAAAGCGCTTTCTCTCTCTCTCTCTCTCTCTCTCTCTCTCTCTCTCTATTTTGCTCTCTCTCTATTCTCTCTCTAATTATTTTGACCAGGTGTCATTAGTCTGCCACGACAGCGACACTCTGTCCTTCCAATCTCCAACTCTCTGATTATAAAAACTTTCAAAAGAGTACCACAACATTATCTACTCAATAACTGAGGCTAAAGTCTGAAATCATATCTACCTGCATCCCTTTGTGCTTCCATATAAAACAGTGGGCAGAGTCCTTCAGACTTCATATAAAAAAATCTAAAACAAATATTTATAACTTTTAAAAATATAACTTCTATAAGGAATAGAATATTTCAAGGTCTCTTTTCCATCCAACATCTTTTGCTGTCTATTTGCAACACGCACTGAAGATACATTCACACTGATGAGATTTGAAACACATTTAAACTAATCCACGGCAGCATTCTCAGATGTCCTGAACCTGTAACCACATAGGAAAAGTTATTGGCAGATAAATGTTCTGCCCATAGGCAGAGCAGCACTCAACAAATGCTGTTTTGAACATGAATGAATTTCTGAGGCAGCCAAGACAGCTTTAGTGAAAGGAAATCACTTTCACTTCAAGAAGACCAACTCTCTCTTTTGAACTTTTGCTGGTGGATATGATTCTACGGACAGGTTTCAGATTGAGAAACTTCCCAGAAAGAGAAGCAAAAGCTGCTTAATGAAACAGTACAAGTACAACTTGTGAKGCTCAGCAGGCAGTGCGCTCGTCCTGCTGCTGCCTTTTTCCAAACACAATGGTCAAGGCACATGACGTCTGGCTCCCAGCGCTGCTCGTATCTGCTGGATGTCATTATGCACCCAGGATTTATGTCCAACTTCAAATTAAATGCAAGTTTCACACTCTAAGCAGGGATGCCCACAAGCATATTGTTCTTCGGGGAACAACTCTCCGGCTCCATAGATATCACTTGGACAGAATAATTTCGTCCTTCTGCAGCCCATGCCCGATCCAGATCCACAAGSCCCATACACTGCTTTCCTAAAACAAGAGCAAAGAGAACATAAAATATCTAAAAACATAAGCCACCTACCAGAAACATGTACTTCAACATTCAACATCAGAAAAGCATATCAGTAAACAAACAAAAAAATTCTAATCTACTTAAACTGTCAAGATTATTCCTGCTTCAAATAGACAAAGTCAATGTTTCTATCTCTTTCTTGACAGGACATTTTAATATATCTTGGTTGAGAGACGAAAGGGAGACCCATGAGTGTTCCTTCTAAACAGGAATATAAGAGTATTCATTTTGTTAACATCATGATATAGATCAGATATTTTGAACTATTCTCTGTAATTACTTTCTTGTTTCCCTTGAATATATAAAGAACTTCAGTAGCCACATTATGTGTTCTGGTATGAATCTGCTAGCTGCTCTGCAGAGGTTGAAGGGATCTTTGGATTTCAGTACAACAGATACAGTAGTCCTTTTTTTGTTGTTTTGTTTTTGTTTTTTTTGCCTTTTCACACTGGTTGGATATTTGGGATTCTTCAAATAAAGTTTTGTTTTTCAAAAGAACATTATGATTATTTGTTCCAATAGCTTTGATAGGCTTTAAGTTTTTTTTTTTTTTGGCAAGCCAAGAATGCAGTTATCTCCAGCGAGTTTCCATCCCTTTATCTCTCTTTACTAAGCTGGAAGCTAGTTTATAGCTTCCATCATAACATAAATATCATACAAGAGTATATTATGACCCTTAAGTCTAGTAAAGAATACCAGAAGCTTGGACACAATGAATTACTTTATTTTGCTTATTTCAAATTTTGTTTTTATTTTCACTGATTTTTACGTCATTAGAATTTAAACACTGCAAAAATATTCAAGTCAATAAGATGGAAAGGGAATGATGGGAGAAGAAACAGGTACAGATGCAGTAAAAACCAGTAAAATACAATGTTAGACCCCTGCTCATATTTAAAAATCTGAAGGGAAGTTTCAACTACCATAGCATGCAAGAGCAAGGGAGAAAAACCTGAGAAGATTCATGTTTTTCAGTGTAATAAGAAGACAGCAACTTAACACTGTTTTGATAAACAAATTATTTCTTCTTTTATAAAAGAAGATAGGCACACTACTATACAGTCTACGCAACCGTTGCTCTGTAGAAATCCATACCTATTGACCGGCGTTCAGGTGGAAGCTGAACAGCTGTCTGATCTGCAAATCTGCAAAGAATCATGTGCTCCTAGGAAAAAGATAAAGAATTTAATTCAATGCCTTCCCACTTTTCTAAAGAGCATAAGAAAGAGATGATTAAACATAATAAAATACAAAAAAAAAGCTCCCAGTTGAAGACTGATAGAAAAATTATCTGTGTGTAAATCCTAATCTCGATGCTGCTTTTGCTTCTGAAAGTGATTATAAACACTTGATTTACACACAATCCCCCATTTCTTCTTACAGTGTTAGCTCCTGGCTCCAATTCCTGCAGTTCCCCACAGCAGTGGAACTGGATGTAAGCTGTAAGAGACAGCATTCGTCAGAGGCATGCCACAGACTAATGTTTCCTTCAACTACTGAGGAGCAACACAGCCTTCTTTTAGCACAGTCAACACCAGACAGTATATCCACATTACTGAGCAGTCAAGATAGGCAATTTTRAAGGCTGGATGTTTCTCCTATTTAAAAATTCTAAGTAGTTATCAGAATCCAGGAAGAATCACCTTGCTGGGAAAAAATTTCCTCTGCTCCACCAAATCAATAAAGGATCAACCTAAAGGTGAAGCAGATCTGTCTGTGCATGGAAACTTTTCATGCCTCAAAATGAACATAAATCACTTGCAAATTACCCTATTTGACTTAAAGCTTTATGTGAGGCTTCCAAGACACACTGGTGATTTCTTCCTTCCCTGCTGCCCAGGAACCCGGTGCAGTGGAGGTTTAGCACTYGCCTCCATCCCCGCCTGCCCCGCTGCAGAGGCGGCCCAGAACACCATCCTCACTCGCCTTCAAAGCCATCCACCTATGGTGGATCACCAAATGATTCCTCAAAGGCAACCAAACTAAAGGAAGGTGAGTTAACCAGATGGTGAGGGAAAAAGCCTTCAAAAGATATAGCAATGGAAATGATGCTCTAATGACAACTGTGCTATTTGAGACAGTGACAATATTAAGCATGAAGACTGATATTGAGAACCTTTTGAGAAATGTGCAACCTCCTCAAATCTCCCCTGAGGAAACAAGAGAAACAGAGAAGCTCTGCCATGCAAAGCCAAAAGCTTCCAGAGCCGGTTTTGAAAAATGAGATTGTCTCTCTCCCATCAAAAGAAAATATTCTTTGATTCTCATCTAACAGTGGCTATTTTAAAGGTTTGKTTCTTGTAATGAATGTAGAGACAGCAACTTCAACTAATGACACTTTTATTCCAATGTTCCAATAAACATTTAAAAGTCTGCATTTCACAAAAAAACAACTGAAAGAAATCCTGTCTTTATTAAATCAAGATGACAGCTCCTTCTACAGTATGCTCCAATACACAGATTTTCTAGTCATCCAATTGTAAAAAAGGTTGCTCACAAATTTTACCTTTTGTATTGAAACATTTTTGCTCCTTGAAACTCAGAGATTACTGATCTTAATGACAACATCTTGAGAGACAGGGAAGTTTCTTCCCTAATACAGCTGATCTACAGAAGCATTTTTTGCTCACAGTTTTTAACAAACATGTAAGAAAGACAAGAACATACTACAACATGTTTGGATTTGGCATATGTTTTGCTCAGTGTAATTTAAGAATAGTTATTTGTGTAGTACAGAAGGTCCAAGAACATTTAACCAACATTTAAGCAACTACTGCAAGAGAGGGAAGGTAGCAGCAGTGCGGCTGCTGTTAGACAGGCAGGGAGAAAAAGGGGCTGGGACAGACTGGCTTTGGAGCGGGAAGGGACAAGTCAGCACAGAGCCAGCCGGGCTCTGGGCACCCCCAAGCCGCTGCTGCGTTTCCATGCACTGGATTCCAGGTGAGCCTGAACACCTGGATTCATTCCCAAACATGCAAAAAAGCCTTCACTTTCTAAAGTTAATCTGAACAGCTGAAGTGAGAGTTATGCCTACATCATTCTCCCATGACCCAGTTGGGTAAATTGTCACGCTCTCGGTCAGCAGATATGAGAATTATAATTATAACCTTTGCTACTTTAGAAATATTAACTGCCAAGCTGTGCATGTGSATAAACAGTAACTTGCTTTCTCCAACACCATCAAGTTCTAGTAAGCTTTCAAAACTGTATTTCAAAAGTAATTGATTTCTACTTTCCAATTCTCCTACAGGAAGCAAAGCAGTCTTCAAATGTATCATGGTAAAATTCTTTGCAGCTATAAACTAACAAATTTCAGCATAATGTTCTCATTTAAAAAAAAAGTTTGGGATTTGSCACACTTCTAGATGTCTTTTTAGATCTCACTAAAATGGAAGATAAGAGAAATGAATTTAAATTAGGAACGCGGAAGGGAACGGGGGAAAGACTCAGTCCGTGTCTGGGTAACACATGGCATCTTTGGCTACTGGCCAATAACCCTCAACAATTTATTAATAGGAAATATAAAAATCACATACAGCTAGGAATATATAAGAGTTATTTATAGCTAGGATTATCTGAGGCACCATCCAGCCCAGGGTACATTGGTATATTCTCTTACATTATTAAGAAAAGCAATATTTTTAACATTGTTTTTGGCCCCTTAGGCACTTCCGCAAAACAAAAGATGCTGTAACTTCTACTGTGGTGGTAAGGGCTGTGATTTAAACCTGCATTGATTAACAGGTTAAGAAAAAAAAATGTTGCTAACTTTTAGTATGATTACACACACTATCCTAAGCTAGGTTTCCTTGATTTTGTACACAGGTGAGAAACACAGGTTTCTCAAATGTCAAATGAGTTTTAGGATTAAGCTCTTTAGAATATTATGCCAATTAAGATTAAGGTGCTGAATTTAAGAGAAGAAAAAACAAAAATGATAGTATTTCCACTTCAAATCTTTAAACACAAAACCACAGATATCCTTATAGAACACAAGCACTAGCTCAAGAATTACTTAAAAACCTCTTCTAAGACAATGAAGTCTCTACTGTTTCCACATGAACTATTGAACCACAGCTGCTAATAAAAGTTGATTAGAGGGTAAGTATGTGTTGGTTTAATCTCATGCTACAGCAAACACATTTGAACAATTTCAGTATCCTTTTGAATTAAGTTTTAAAAACTACACCATCTTGAAGAGTATCACCTCTTCCTACTCAATGTCCAATCTTCTAGGCATAACTTAGAGGGAGAAAGCTGGTGTTTATCAGAAAACAAGATCACTAGAAGCAGTAATCCCACATTAAAGGTTACTGTACATTTATACAGGCAGAAAGGGGCACATAACCCGCCGCCCCCTCCCCAACCCACAGGAGTAACTTTTACATACCTTGTAGGATAAAATGGCTTTGAATTGATGGCTGAAAAAGAAAAAAAGACCAATTCAATTAACACTAAAAAAGGCAGATAAAAAATAGAAGCAGTCCTTAGATATTTGGCTACATTTTGATCAAAACAGACATATCTACAGCCTACATAAAAGCATGCAAAAAGCTACAACAGTTCCAATTTACTAGAACAGACAAGCATATTAGGTGTCATTTTATTTTTTCTACTTCATTCTTCATAGAAATTCCATCTAAACCATAATGTTGCAGAAATTTACCTTTTTTTCACATTTCACATTAATACTTTGTTTTGCATGTATACAACCTGTAAGCATGCATAAGTCTTACATATTTTTATCACAAAAGCAAGTTATCTCTAGGATGATAATGAGTATGAATCTGGCAATATATAGGRACAGCCTATTATGTTTTCCAATCCTATTATGTTAGGAAGAAAGGAAAAAAGCCTAAATTGTAACTCAAGCTTGGCTTGGTGTGCTATGAACCACATATTTCCACAACAGCTAAGGCTTTAGACTCAAAATGTTAACAAACACAAAACTGCAACAATTTATATTCTTACATCATCCTCATCAACAAAAGATTCCTAACAGGAAGGGCAGTCTTCACAACCTAAAGATATGACTGGCCAAAAGTTAAACAGCATCTAGTCAATTTTAAGATAAGCAAGGGAAGAGTTACATCCCCAATAAATTTAGAAGGGTTCGCTGTTCCTCCCCCACACACACACTTCCTCCTTAAGAGGTGGCATTTTACTGTGCTTGAAGACAAAAAAAAGGGAATGTTTATAAACAGATGAAAGAATCCCATTGACTAAGAAAACATAGTTAAATGTAAAGTTTATTCAACTGAAAAATATAAATATTTATTCTGCACAGTATAAGACTATCTTCTGCCAATTTATGTGTCTTCTAAATTACATCAGAAATATTAAAATTCTTAAGCCAAACAAATAGAGGCATCTCAAAAATGACTGATTTGGAGAAGACAGAATCTACACGATACGCTGAAGAAATATTAGAAATACTAACTGAAATACAGGTGAGCTTGTCTACTTGAGCATAAATCAGAAGAGTTTAATAAGCAGTAAACTGTGGTATAAAGCAGACCCATTTAATTGCTTACATCTTTCCCTAACATAAAGCTGTCAGTTCCCCTTCTTACAGTACCTCTCATACATCTTTTATTAACAGCGTGATTTCAAGATAAGAGGGCTGTATATTACACATATTTCCAAGCACTCTACCTACTGTATTGATGCTATAAAGCCTTTGTGAAATGCTATGAATAGATAAATCCAGAGAGATATTCCAGGAATTAATAATGCATCTCCCTTTCTAGGGTACATCTGCAAAGGGCCAGAGGAAGAGRCAGTTTTATTAAATGTGAACCTATTTAGCCTGGACATTTGCAAATAGTTTCAAAGCTGTACTTGTAATCTTTAAGCAGTTTCTTCCTCCTTTTTATTGGCATTTTAAAATTTATTTTGTCAGCTTTAACTTACCTTTGTGGATATGAGAACTTCACTGTGTTTTGAATGAAGCCATAACAACACGGGCAGACGACAAAGGCTGCCTGAGCCTTGATGCAGTGCTCAATCACCATGTCCGTGGCCACACCACAGGCATGCAGAGCTACCTGTGGCACAGAAGGAGGAAAAAAAAAAAAAAGAAAAAAAAAGGAGGGGGTGGGGGAAGACAGTTTTATAGTAACATTGTATATAAAATCCCGATGCAGCATATTCTTTACTGAATGAGTTACTTAAATAAGAGGGTCTGCAGTGAAAGATACTAAGGCAAAGACTTCGTTCTTCTCWGCTTTTCATTTCTTTTATTTCTGTGTCAAAGAATCTTCATGACCCCTCCACTTAAAGAGCTGTCAACACTGAAAAAGGGTCAGTCATCAAAAACAYTTGACAAGTGAACTGCATCATTCTGTCAATTCAATTGACAACATAGCTCCAGAAAACACTGAAGTATAAAACTCAATCACTGTTGAGTGATCAACTCATTGTTGTTTATTTCAAACAAACAAGCATCTAAAATTCAAAGATGTTTCAAAGTTGGATTTCACTAAGAAAAAACAAAGCGCTGCAAAACCATTAAGAGAAGCAAGCACTGAAATTGACACACACTTAATATTTCTTGCCGTAAAGCTCAAGTACATAATACTTCCTATTTTAATAAAAACTTCAAACAAATACTTAGTGTTAACTTTAAAACGAGACAAAGACAAAAATGAACACAAAATTGGAAACAGATTTTACTGATAAACTATAGTTAAACATTTTGTACAAAGAATTTAGTAAATTATTCATGAGACTGATTTTTCTGAAACAGAGCTAGGGCTCATCCACTGAGAGATTTGTGTGACAATTTGCACAGAATAAAGCAAGAGAACTGGAAATTTATACTTGGAAGAACTGGAATAACATGATTCTTTTTTSTGCACTGTATTTCTTTTTAAATAACCAAATCAAACAGTCAAACAGCATTAGTTTGCCCATCTGTACCATCAACCTTCACACTCACACAGCCTAAGCTACAGCCACAGCAGGTCCTTGGAGAGATGATTTATGGAAAAGACTGACCACTAAAAGCTAGGGGCAGGCTATAAAAGCTCACATTCTATTTACAGAAGATCACCCTAGAAGACAGGAATCTTTACAGAGATACAAGACTGGTTATGCCTTATCCTTCAGTAGGGCTGGGGAACTGTGGAGAGACAGACATTCACATGACTGACTTCTGCAAGCGGACATGGATGCCCTGAAGCAGCATTAAACACATCTAGAGAACTGCAGAAGCCAGGTCCCTGCTGTGATCTGCTCATTTACAATAATGGCAAAATATCTAAAATCAAGAGCCAGAATAACACCTTTTGACTGAGGAGCACTCAACATGAGTCCTGCAAAATTAGGATATGAATCTGCCTTTATAAATCTGGCTTGWGTATACCTTTCACAATAAATATACTTACGCAGTTAACATAATAATCTCTCCCACATGGTAATTTGCTTTCAGTTTTGCCTAGTATAGTCTTTCCTTTTAAATGCATTTACTGTCATTACTGTCAAAAATACATGGCTCTGGGTAATTCCAAGTGACAATAGCCTTTTCTGCCCTTCAACACCCTCTCTAGAGTATATCTGCTAATAAATCACTAATTTTAAAATAGTATGACTAACCCAGGACTGGAACAGACATTTCTTCCTTTCCTCTTCACATAATGAGGAAAGTGATGCCTATTTGCAACAAATAATAAATAGCAATCTTACTCATTACTATTTATAACAACAGTGCTTCATATAGTAGAAATACCTGTCTGTAAGAACATATCATTTCTTTTCTCAACAAATTATAATTAAGAGTAATTGACCAAAATATAATGAAAAATAATCTCTCACTTACCCCAATATTAAAAGTCCCATTAAAATAATCCAAATTTGCTTGAATGAACCAAATGTTGTTTAAGCCTAGTTCATCACTTCTCTCTTTAGCACGAATCAGTGACAATTCCTTATTTTCTATGAGCACCACCTAGGTTTTACACACAGGGCAGTAAGGCAAAAGTATAGGCAAATCAAAGTATATCACCAATAAGCACAAAACTTTGTAGTTAAGAAAACTTCCCCAACTGCTTGTGGCAGAACTTGAGATCTCCTCCAGAGTGATCTATCAGGGAACTCAACAGCAAGTGAAGGCATTTAAGACATACTAATATCAAACAGCTGGTGAGTGTTTCCTATAGGCACACCTGCCAGCATTTTGGGGGAAAAAAATCTGCAGAGGTTTTGCATTTAAATCTCCTCTGTTGCCAGGTATTTGCTTTTGTCGGTTTGATTGAAGACTGGATGATTCAACTCTAATGCTACTTTCTTGACTTTTGTCTCAAATTCGTTATTAGGACAAAGAAACATTTTCCTCCGAATTAGTGGCTAGCATTAGAGGTTTCAATGACAGTTTTGTGAAAAAAAAACTTTAGCGACAAGACCTTAGGCTGGTCACAGCTTTGAGGTAGCTTTTTCCAAACAATTTTGAATTGCTCTCTAATTTAGGCTTAAAAGGATGTGTCCATTTTTCTAAATTTGCATTCTCAGGGGGGGGTATCTCCTCTTTTGCCAAATAATGCAATGTAATAAATACCTTTACATGTGCYAATAAAGACTTTCTCATAACCTAAAATAAAAGATCATAAACCTAAAAGTTAGCAGTTATGTCTTCACACTTACATGCTTTGAATGCATTAGGATTTTCAGAGATCAGAAGCTTACATCATCTGTACTTCTTTCTTAGAACTTACCTGACATGATGGCATCATGTGAGCAAGAACAATTCCAACATGGCCCTGTAAAAATAAATAAAAAACATTTTTCAATATACCTGCTCTTGACCCATTTCAGGCTGAGCATCCCATAACCATCAACAGAAACTCTGAAAACAGCTAAAAYTGCAGAGTTTGTGCTTTTGTGCTTTTTGTACTTCAGTAACCTTCAAAGAMGACAGCCAAAATAAACTGTATCTCAAAGAAAATATGCCTTACCCCTCCACTGCAAAAATCCACAATCACATCTCCAGGCTTAGCAAGCTTTTTCACCGCTGCTATCAAATTATTCAACTGCTGCTGTTTCCTCAGAGCTCGATCTCTGGACATCTTTCCTGAGGATGACAGAGAAAATGCCTGATTAGTAATCAGTAAGTCTCAATATTGATAATTTTAATTATGGCCAAGGAGAAAGAAAAAAGGTACAGGTTCTTCTAAATTGTAAGCMATATTAACAAAATATAATCAAATTTCACAGGATCATTACAGTTGTAGGGGACCTGTAGAGATCATCCAGTCCAACTCYCCTGTACATGTRGGGTCACCTGGAACATGTGGCACAGGATTGCACCCAAGCAGGTTTTGAACATCTCCAGAGAAGGAAATTCCACAAACCAAAGGTTTTATTTAAGTTTCTCTACCAAAAACCATAGCTCCTCTTGTGCATCAAATTTCTGTGAACTACTCCATAGATTGCCTCAGCTTTCATGCCTCTGTGATATGCTGATATTCAAACAGCTTCCAACAGCTACAATTTTAACTGAGTCAATGGAAGATGGAGACTTTCCAGCGTGTGTGAAAATGAAGGGCTGTCAAGGTATTTGTCAAAGAGCTTGAAATTCAGCTTGAGAGATCAAGCCCATAATTTAAGGGAGACAAATATTGCAACACTAATGCCTGAAGAAAATCTGATACTTCATGTGTGCTGCAACTCCCAAATGCACACAGCAGCTGCATTTACATGTGCATGTATATGCACACACATACATGTACATGCGCCACAGTGGATAYTTTGGGTTTAGAAAAATAGCTGCGACACATCTTTAGATTTAATTCCCACTGAAACTACCAGGATCGAAACACAAAAAGACAGACAAAATCTGATTCACATTCATGAGCTATACCCCAACATGCTACAGTGCATCTATGGTACAGGGGCATGTTTAATAGGGACTTTTATCTTCATAACACAGGTTGGGGTCTGTCYTCATGAACCAACAGATCTTGCAGTTGTTGCTTCAATTATTTCAGCTACAACTGATAAAGCGCTTAATAAAAAGAGTTGTTGTTCCACAACATAAAAAGGAATGGCTACACGCCTTCCCCTTTTACGGAGGTATTAGGACATGTTTGCACTTTATCTGATAAGCAAGGGGAGCAGCCAAACAAGTACAGACCTCTCAACTCACACTGCTTTCTTAGAAGCCCACTAGAAGCTGCCCACGTACAATATCGCGGTTTGGCTGATTACACAGCAGGAAGAGGCTGCCAAATTTGAGCATGTTTTTAACCACCGAGTGTGGACAGTGATAAAACTGTGGTTTTACTTCAACCAAAACAACCTYCTTTTTCTTTCTTTTGTCCAATTCAAATCCTGAATGTTCTTAAAGCTCTTTCATAGCATAAAGTTGTAAGCTGCCCTTGTAAATAGCCTTCACTTATTCAAGGCATCCTGAGCTAAAGTAACCTCTGCAATTAATTTAATGGGATTTGTTGTAAATGCCTTTTTCTTCCAGTGACTTTTGTATCACCCTCCTCTTCAATTTTCTTAATTAGAAGAGCGACCAGGCAATGAACTCTGTTTCCAGTTCCTCCATCTCAACACAGGAATACAAGTGTTCTTCTGARCTACGTTTCCTGTAAAACAAAGGCGGCCAACCCACACCTGTCAAGCAACAACCAGCACAAAAATTCAAGCACACACATGCTCCTACTTCCCTGTTCTTACTATCCAACCCTAAGACTTTCCAGGTTAACTCCTTAAAAAACAACATCAAATCTTCCTCCTATGCAAAGCCACAAAAGAGGTTCAAAAACTCAATGAAGTCAGAAGTAAAGCATTAACAGGATCTACTCCTTACTCTTCAGTTAAGATGCCCAAATATTAAACTAGTAAGAACATAAAAATAGCCTATCATCTTTCAAAACCTCTTTAAAAGTTAACTCTCCACTGATACCAGCGAACAAGGCTTCATCTTCCCTTAACGCAAAGATAATAAGTAGCATACGTTTCCTTAAAAAAGGCAGAGAAAACTAAGCTCAAAACAATAGGTCTTTTGTCTGCTCCTGTATTTTGAGCCTGGTAGCTAGGATTACAGAAATGCAGAGCCCTGTGACACAACCAGTAGAGAGCATTAGCCTGGCTGGACACTTCAGCAAAACAGCAAATTCAACTATAACACCCCTGTCTTAATATCCTACAGCTCACTCTCAGGACCTCTGAAGGTAAACCACACATGAGAGAAAATACCTTGAGAGTTCAGCCCTACAAGACAAAATCTTGAGAAGTGTGCTCTTTTCCTAATGCCGTGCTCCTTTTGTAAGAGCTAAGCTGACACACCGCCATGCATTCCCAGAAAGCTCTGTTTTTTATTTTTGACTAACAGGCACAATAAAAATACTTCTTCTGGATTCATAAACCTAAGACAGAGTTTCTAAATCTTCATGGCAATACAGTAGTAATGTTCAGGACCTTTCATTTTTATTGACCTTTACCCCCTGCCCCCACCACATTCCCCTTTTTAAACTCTCTCTTCATTCATGCTTGGAGAAAGTAAATATCAGCTAAAAAATTCAGGAAAACCATGATTTTATATTTTTGACTGCAAGTGAGACAATAACTTTATTTTCTCCAGTATTTAGCTATTACCTTAACATACACTATGCCCGTTTGAAGTAGCCAGAAAGCTATCAAGGTCCTCCCAAGAATATTTTTATTAACAGARGCAATCAGCAGCCAGATGGGTGCTAGCACTTCTGAGGAAGGCTTTTTCTGAGTGGATCTTTATTACAACATATTCTGGAACTCTCAAGTTTGGAAATACCCTGAAGACTTGCATGCCTTTACTTGTTGGTAACAGGGTATATCAACACTTTTTAAAACACACAAGTAACACACRCATACCACAACGCTACAGCTCTACACACTCCTAAAAGCAGCAGTCCCTATTTAAGTGAAGAAATTGTCATTAGTCTTGTCATGCAGGCTATTTATCTTTYGCTAACAGATACGGGTTATTTTCATGGTTACCTTGTTTCTATTTTTGTACAGCTCATCACACCAGTAATTAGATCTCCAACAGGGTGTTTTTAAATCTCTGATGAGGACTGTACTAACAAAGGGGCGACTAAACCCAGCATTTGTTGCCTGGAGTCTTGCTCTACCTAAGAACGTAGAGCTGGGCTGTGTTTCACAACTGAGAATGCATTCTGTGAATACCAGTAAGTTTACACGCTTGAATATTCCTGGCACGTGTAAGAGAACTTGTAGCGCCCATGAAGTTACTAATACACATGGGATAAAATAATCAAATACAAGTAATATCAAAAGATATATTGCTCTCCAAGTTTTCAACTTGTTTTTAAACCTTTATATTGAACTCTTCTAAAGCACAAATTAAAAGCACTGGCAACAAGTTGCCATTCTTCCAAGAATGGTGCACTAGAATGCTATTTTCCAAATGCAAGCAGGGACAGATGATTCTGCATCTCAAAGATCAGTGTGATGCTAATCAGATGACTACCATTTCATTCTTCCAAAAAACTGTATTTGATAGATAGAATATATTTAATACTCAATTATAATGAAATACATTAGGTTGAATATAAAACCAAAGCACTAAGATGGCCTACTGAAAACTTCACACTATTTCATATTATTGAGGGGAATGTATCCCAAGATTAACTTATTTAAAAATGAATCATATTTAACTTCCCCCCTCCCCTTCTTAAACATAAACTGCTCTCTGACAAGTCTGGGAATACTAACACTGTTTTTCCACTCAGAAAGTCTCCCCTTGCAGCTGTTCAGCGGGATCTTACCTCCAGGGAACCAGTATGGTTTGGAAGAGGCAGCCCATTCCCAGGGCATTCAGGAAGACAGCAGGTGTCCTTTCTGAGCACCATATGCTCAACACACAAAACCTTAGCTAAGAAAGAGAGCTAAGCAGCTCTGTGCAATGAGGAATAACAGCTAACATGTAGATGAAGCAAAGATTTAAAAGACATCTTATGACTTGGGTCATCTCATTATTTTACTCTCCTCCTCAAGTTTCAAATAAGYAAAAAAACCTCACACTTAAAATATTATGCATACATTCTTTAGATTAGTAATTCATTGAATATTAAATATCTACATCTTTAAGAYGCCTGGACTTCTAAATAAAGCCATACTAGTTACACATAGAAAGGCCAAATTTATAAACTTCTCTTTTGCCCGAGTTTCACTGCAGTTATCCCAGCCTATATAGCTTGGTCCTGTATAAACCTGAGATTTATGAAAATTTTAGTAGTTGTATAAAATGAGTGCCTCTAGTATTCATATGGTTTATGTTAAAAGCATTCAAGAGTTCACAGAAAATATTCTAGAATTACATCCATCGTAAGGTTTTAATTCAATATTAATATAACTGTTTGACTACTTACTGTTTTCCTTCCCCCCCACTCCTCTTTTTTTTTTTTTTCTCTCTCCCTCTCTCTCCAGCCCAGTTTGGGGGCTTACAGTAGGAAATCAAAGCAAACTGCAAGTTAAACATTAAGTGTAATTAAATCCAGTGAATACCTATCAAACTAGGATGTTTTCTATCCAGTCTTAAAGCAGGTCACCAACTTGGAGTAAGTCAACATCTACTTTTGCCTGGTTACAGGCCCACTACTGTAAATGCTGATCACCAGCATTCAAAAGTTCCTGCAACTTCCAGACAGACTTTTTTCATAAGAACTATATGCGACAGACTGAAAAAGTGATTTTCAGTTAGCACTTCCCTTTGCACAAGCCTTTCCTACTYGCTCCTTACTCATTGTTCACATTACAAGCACAATGATGGAAATGAATACGCCAGAACTGGCTGAGATGCCAGCCCTTTCTCTATAACTACGTTCCATAGATCTCCATAACTAAGCTGTTGAATGCTAGATATGCAGCTTTGCAGGTGGCACACCACAGCTAAGTGTGGTTACCAAATATTCCTTAGATGTTTGTGGTTCTTTGGGTAAATTARTTGTAGTCACAACCAACATGTACTCTGCTTTTCTTCTGAAGAATTTTGWATGGTATCTCTCCTTAAATGTGCAATTCAGTCTGCTTGTTAAGCAACTTCAGTATTGAGTGTTAGGA